TTCTCCCTCCTCCACCTCCCCCCCACCCGCCATTTGCCACCCTGCCAAGTGGGGGAGGATTTCATTTCATTCGTGGCGCAGAACGCAGCCGCCTGCGCCATCCGCGCGCGCAAGCCGGGCAGAGAGACCTGATCGACGAGGAAGCGGGTGCAATTTTCGGAAGCGGGAAAAGCCTCCTGCGTCGTGGAGCCGGCCGTCAAAGGGCTAGACCTACTGAGGGGGGGCTCCGGTGGGGATGCGGGCGAAAGCGGAGTCCAAGATGCGGATCTCCCCTTAGGAGGCCCGTGTGGGGCGTCCCTGGAGACTGCCACCTTTCCCTTCCGGAGTTTCTGATGGGGGGGGGCGGGCAGCTCAGTGGGGCCGTCGCCGCCCCCCGGGCACAGCAGGTCCTTCAGCAGAGCGGCTGGTAGCCGAGGCGGCGCGATGCGTCTCCGTTGATACATATGTGTGTGTATACATGTATGTAGTGTAGATATATACACTGTATAAATATCCTCATTCACATATACATAATATTACGCCCACCTTTAGGGTTACCTTGTGCTTTTCTTTTCTCAATCTCTCATTTCTCTTCGTGTTTTATTTGCTTTATGAAAGCAAGTACTTTACCTTCCCCCTGAATTGGTGGTAAACAAAACTGGATCTTTGTAACCCAAGAAGAGGGAAACGTTGCATCTATTTTAAGATGCTTGGAGCGGGGGAGAAGCAGGTGGACTGAACAATAGCTTTAGCAATTCCCGACATTTAGGGAAACAGTTGCCTTCGCTCTGGAGCATGTAGCTTAAACCATGAAAAAGGGTTACAGAAATGGTGAAAGAAAATTTAAGGAGAGAGAAGGTGAGCAAAATATCTAAGTGTCAATAAAATATCTATTTTTGTACAAATGTAATTTTATCCCTTACATATGCTTAGATAATTTTTGTTGGGGGGGGGAGACCGCTTTTATAGGATTTGTTCTAAATCTCTCATGAATATGTTCAGCCTTAAGCACACCTGTATGAAGAAAAGGACAAGCTTTGTATGGTGTTGAAATAACTTTATCCCAAATCTCAGAAATCTTTCTTTTCAATGAATGGATTTATGTCCCTCCCCACCCGGAAACACAGAATACAACCTCTGGTTGCGACCCCTCCAAGCCTCTCCTTTTGCAGCATTATCTTGCAGATCTACTCTACTGTGAAATCACTACCGTATATTATTGTTCACTAAAAAATAAAGTAAATAAAAAAAATCTGCTGGAAATGCCAGTATTTTGAAGAAATGTATTGGGATTGTTTAAAAAAAAAAAGTAAAAGAAAATATATGAACATTTAAAAATTCAATAGAATTCTATTTCTCTTTTGTTTTGCAAGGATATTTTGTATGTTCTGCACTCGCTTTAATTTGCCCCTCGGCTTCATTGCAACTGCAGCCATGTTTCGGTTACTTTTTGCTCATTAGACGTGAAGTCCAAGAATGTTTTTATAGCAGGAAAAAGGAATGTTTATCTGAAAACGGTGTGGACGATGATGATGATTCAAGTCCCTGCTGTCATTTTGCTTTTTGTGGAAGTTGCCTGGGCAAAAGAGAGCGGATGGCTCTGCTGTTCTCCAGTCAAGGGATGACTGTTGGACCCTTGTTTCGACTGATGGAGAAGGAGGGAGCCCAGTAGAATACTGGCCTCCCCACAGATTTTTCTTTCACGGGACCTCAGGCAGCTCTTCATAATACTCAGTTGTGCACATGGATTATTCTACAGAAACACGGCTGCGGGTGGCAACCCATGTCCACAGAATCAAAGGGTTGGAAGGGGCCACCAGGAATTGCCATTAAAGCCTCTGCTTGAAGACCTTTGGAGAAAGGAGAGGACCAGGAACACCGGTGTTGCAGGGGGCCCCTGGGAAGACCAAGAGGGGTTTTGCTTACACCCCAAACAGACATTTGGATTAGACTGATGGGGTATTTGGGGGGCTTACAAGGGGCTCAGCATATCACTCTGATCTCAGAGGCCCCTGCCCAAGGAGGGTGAATCTGGGAAGGCAGAGAACCGGGTGCTACTGTGTTTCCCCTCCCTGAAATCCTTGACCAACGGATTACATATTTCTTGATGGCATTTAGACTGAGAGGGCAGACCCCATGTTCCTCTTCTGAGCTTCTCCATTCAGGGTCCCCTCCTGCTCTTCGGACCTCTTAGAACCTGGCCATCTTGCAGTAGGCTGGGGAGCTTTCCAGACCACCTGGCTCAAGATCACTGCTGGTTGAGCCCAATGCTCCCTTGGGTGGGCAACCAGTGGGCCTCAGGCATTTCTGAAGAGCAGAGGAAAAGGTTCCCTCCTGCCAGTCAGGAAGGAGAACCACCTGGGCACCGTGCTGCTGGACATCAAGAGTTCATGCTTCTCAAGCAAGAATATGCTAAGCAAGGATTATTTTTGCTTCCGCCATGGGGCAGAGAAACCCCAGGCCCTCCCCATACGAGTAAGAACACCTAATACTTTTAATACTATTTCATAGCATGGCACCAATAGAAGCGAATATGGGTAGCTCAGGGTTGAGCTGTGGAGTCCTTGGGGTTCTCTGAGCTTCGCTGTTTTCTTGAAAACGTTTCGTTACCTGGCTAGGTAACATCTTCAGTGCTAGAATGGAATGGGGTTTGCTCGCATGCCCTGCCAGTGCTAGCGGGGGTGGGGGTTTTGTTTTGTTTTATTTTTTTCCTCTGGTAGTTCCTTGGT